ATTTTCCAAATGCTCCGGCGCCCCCCCCCCCCCCCCCCCCCCCCCACCCCTCCCCCCCCCCCCCCCCCCCCCCTCCCCTCCCTGCTCCCCCCTCTCTCCTCTTTCCTTCCTTCTCCTCTTCCTACTTCTGTCTTTCTTTTTCTTTCCTTTTTTTCCTCTTTCTTTACCACTACCCCTTCCTCCAATCGCAACGCATGTTGTCTGTTTGTTGTGGTTCAGCCGGTGGGCTTCCCCATACAAATTTCACACCTTTTTTTAGGGGGGGGGATGCGATTTTTTGGCAAAAGGGGGGGGGGGGGGTTTGTTTTTTTTTTCAACCCAATTTTCAAAATCTCCCCGGCCCCCCCCCCCCCCCCACCCCCTATACGTTTTGACCAGCCCCTAATTTCGTTTATTTTGAAATGTTACCCTCTCTTGCGCGTTCATTTCCTCGTTCCCTACTAAATTCGCGTTAATTTTATGTCGCGTTTATCTCCAATAACTCAATTTCATGGAGCGCTAATTTCCTGTAATAAGGTATGACTTTCGCCTTCGATGGCTTGGATGGAAACAAATTGCAACTTGAAAAAATTGGGCCAACTTTAATTTTCAAGTTTAACTCCTGTGTTGTAAAAAAAATGACCAAAAACCTATCGTTGTGGCTCTTCTTTCCCTTTGATGTAATCATTTGATATCTTTCCTTTAAAATAACCAAGTATTGAAAAAGGTACCCCGGTGAGCTTTGACCCAAAAATGTGGCATTCACCAAAACATACAGTAGCCCCTTTAAAGTTAACACTAATGCACCTATCAATGCCATGCTGCAGGGCATGGGTTGTCTTTGTTGGCCCTGGGGTAGGGCATTTGACTGATCTTGTTCTCCCAGGGGAGGGGATATTTGAATCTTTCTTCGCCCGACATGGAGGTATTTGACTGCCGACTCAGACGAAAAAGACTGGGACCGAACGTATGTTTCCCGCTTCCACGCTTCAAGCATGCGCCGTACGGTCTGTAAAGATCTGGAAATCTTGGAGGCCAACGGGAATAAGCGAAAGCTACGTTGGATTTCACTGTTTTGTCTTCAAATTTCGTTTGTTTTAGCGTGTTTTTGATCAATTGAAACTCTTAAGATATTGTGTTATCAAAGTAAACGGACGTAAAGAGAAACCAAGTCGATTCTTGCAAGTAAAATTGATCAGTGTATGCCTAATTCACTATAATCACTGTATAAAGCTTGTAAAACTGACTTTCTCTGTACCCTTTACTAAGAATGGTATATTTAAACTTACATAATGTGGACTTTCTCTTGAAAGGTTTCTGTATTCTACGTAGTGTAACACGGATTATGGTTAAAACGTATAATTGCAGCTGTAACAGGAACATGTATCTTTGGTGATGCAGCAACATTTATAATAGCCTGTTCCAGGCTTCGAGATAGTCGGGTCCGCTGAATTGAGAAAGCGCAAACACGAAAATAAAACGGGAGGAAACAGGGGAGAGAAGGGGCGGCGGAGCCTGTAATCATTTCTTTAAACGACCCGTTCCGGTATACCAGCTCCTGGTATACCCTCTGTTTGGTCAGGTTTCTCAGAGAGATGGCGTGCGGCGTCCACGCGCGTGAAATAGAGGAATCCACGATAACTTCTGCGTTGAATGAATGTTTCCGAGATTTCCCGCACATGGGAGCGCTGAGGAAGGAACAGAAGACCTGCCTTGTGAACTTGGCGCGTGGAAGAGATGTTTTTGTTATCCTGCCGACCGGCTTCGGTCTTGCCTGATAACAAAGTGGCAATAACAGAACAGTCGCAAGGAGTCAGTATCTACGTGCTCCAGTCCAGATTCACATTATCTTTAGATCTCGTAAGAAGGACAAGCTGGAGTTTAAAAATCTTTGCTTAAAAGCAATCTTGACTGACTCACAACGTAGTTCTCCATGTTTAAAGTAGCTTCAGTTTAAGCTGCAATCCATTCTTCGAAATTTGGATCTGTGAATCACCATTCGTGAGAATTTCACATCCTGCAAAAGCACTAACGAGCTGAGCCCAGCGTGACAAAACTCATTGTAGGAGACCATCACATCACATTCACAGACAAAAGAAAATCCCTTTCAGTTATTCAGACCAAGGGGGGACTTTGGAAAAAATTAAACAGTCTAAAACCCTTATTTAGCCGCAATGACGAACTTTACGTTTCAAGAGGTCAACTTACATCTTACATCAGAGGGCAAGTCATCAATGATGCCGACCAGATACACAGGCGGCAAAAATCACATAGTTTACTCAGTCAGAATGTAGACCCCTCCAGAGCATAATCCACCCGTAAGAGAAAATAATCACTGGAACAAGCAGCATTTTGGCACAAGGTAAAAGTCGTGTGTTGCCTACCGACCCGCTTTTTACACTCCAGATTGCTCTGACTCGCATAAGGGACAAGCGCCGCGTGAAATAATCTCGCGAGATATTTGAGAAAGATTCCAACTCATTGACAACTCATTGACATTTCAACAGTTTGACAGCCGAAATCTAATTATCTCAAACGTGCCAAAAGTGGGCGGAAGAGGGTCGTAAAATAAATGATTACAGGCTCTCTCCCTTCCTTTTTCCTTTTTCCCTTCCGCCAACTTTTCGCTTGCCTTTTTCTTTCGCGTCTTCCCCACTATTTGAGAGCCTGGAACAGGCTACGTTTATAAATAAAGATTGCAGAGTTTTATTTGGAGATATTTTCATTGTGCCTTTCTTGGGGTCTGCCTAAGGATATTTGATAACAATGTGCAGCCCGGGGTGGGGAAATGTGGTTGCGTTTGACTGGAATGATTTGCCCGTTTGCAGGGATATTTGACGGCAAATTTTTGAAAAATGTCAAATCCCCACCCCATGCCCTACTTTCCCCTCCCTCCCCCGCCGGCTTTACATAGATAGGTGCATAATAGTCTTCTAGAAATGCAGATCGAACCCTTCTCCGCAAAGAACGCAGCCGCTTAGGCCTGTGGATTACAAGTGACCCTCTGGACATAAATGTGGCTTAATCAATGGCAGGATACAGCCACTTGCGCCATGTCTGCAATTTTAGCTTTCATTAGTTGGGCTGCCTGTTCCGCAGTTTTGCGAGGTCGGTACTAGTCTAGCCTGTTCTGGGCCCCCGACGGACTTAACGAATTAACGGAAGTGCGTTTCGAATTGAAGGTGGGGGCCAGAACAAGGATCTTGGCTCTGTCTCGCAGACGAACTTAAGCAGAGTTTATTTTCATCTGTGGCGCAGGCTAGAACTTGCCTTGAAACAACCGCATCACCTTCAAGCTGTACCTTTAAGACTGAGACAGGGCCAGTTCTATCGACTATAGTGCCAGCCATCTAGGTTTCCTGATATCTGAAGTCTTTGACATAAAATGCGTGGCCCTTTTTATAAGTCCCTCTCCATGGCATTATAGATAGTCTTGTTTTTTACAGGGAGTGCTTGACACGAGCATATATCCTAGGTAAGGAATCATTTGATGCATCCGCGCACGTAGCTTGCGTTTTCATTATGAGGTCGACTTGTGGAACGCCAGTCGTACTATGACAGGTGGTAGAAGGAAACTTGACAGCTATGTTAGCCTGCGTAGCTGGCGGTTTTTCTTTTCTTTTTGGGAGCGGGGGGGGGGGGGGTCTTTTGTCGTTGGAGTGGGGGCGAAAGGGACCGCCCCCCACATAAGTTGGGCTCGGGTCCAAATCCGGGCGGCCCCGCCTTGGGTGGGAGCGGGGTTGGTGTTGGTTTTTGGTTTTCTCTTTTTCTTCTGGGGGTTTCCTGTCTTGCGGCGTTCGGTTTGTCCCTTTCCGTCAAAATTAACCTTTTTCCCTTTCTATTTCGACCATACTGTGTGTCGGGTCCGGTGTGTTGGGTTTTGCTGTTGTGGGTGGTTTTGGTGAGGCCAGGCGTATTATGGCAGGTGGTAGGAGGAAACTTTACAGGTTTTTTGGCCTTGGTGGTGGGGGGTTTTTCTTTTCTTTTTGGGGGGGGGGGGGGGGGGATCTTTCGTCGATGGCGCAGGGGCGAGAGCGCTCGCCTCCCACATGAGTGTGGCTCGGGTTCAAATCCCGGCGTCGACGCCATATGTGGGAATGTGGGTTGAGTTTGTTGTTGGTTTTCTCCTTTACTCGGAGAGGTTTTCTGGCTCTGGGCGTTCCGGTTTTCCCCTCTCCTCAAAAATCACCATTTCCGAATTCCAATTCGACCAGGAATCAGGTAGACGAAGAACCACTTTGTGGATGTGTTAACCTCTAAATCATTATTCATTTATTTATTTATTAAGAGATACAGCCGCGCGAAAGCTGAACCAAGGTCGAACCTGCGCGCAACTGAAGTCGGTGTGAATGAAGAACCATGAGAGTTCTTGGCATTCCTAAGGATGCAGGGGGTGCTTACGCAGGTGGGGTCTGGTGCCGCTGGCACTTTTCACAGTGTTAGTTCACCTCCTTCCCTATACCTTTTATCCGAACCGGTCAAGCAAAATGTGACAGCTGCTTGTGCAAAAAATAAGCTGGACTTCAAGTTTTTCTCGAGCCCTGCACCAATAATATTTCTTTTGTCAATATAGAGAGACATAGAATAACGTTTACAGCAAGTTGACAATTTCTCAGTATTAAGGAAATGAAGAAATAAAAACTCTCCAAGCTAATGCTCTTGTTAAAAGATTTTTTCTTATCTTCGAGAGAAAATTTCGCGGAAAAAAAGCCCCTTACTCCCTTAGTATAGTGAGTAATTATTTTTTGTGTATATTTTTATATCTTGTCAATTTTTTGATATTTTTTCTTTTCTTTTTTATTCCTTTTTCCTTTTTCTTGTTTTCTTTTTAAGATGGTCGATCTGCCTTGTTTGGGGCCTATGACTCTGCACTAAGGATTGAATCATTTTGAGCATTCCGGCTGGCTATAGATAACACTCCATTAAATAGTCCATTATTTGGATTATGTAGTGTAATACAACGCATAGTGATTATATATACATATATATGTTTTTTTCCTATGCAGGATTATTCAAAATAAATGGCGGTTTCCATGTTGGAGGAAAAACTGGCCAAAAGCCTTGAATGTGCCATTTGCTTGGATACGTTTGATGACCCAAGAATGTTAAGATGTCAACACTCCTATTGCAGAAAGTGTCTGGAGAAAATCGTTGTGAGAGTTGGCAGTACTTACAAGCTCACCTGTCCTGAATGCAGAGAAGACATCAAGGTAACTTATGTATTATAAAACATACTGTGACGTAACAATAATAAGAACTTATAGCGTTTCGCTTTTATGTTATGAAAAGCGTTTTTTATTTGTCACCTTTGCTGAAATCTCTGATGGCCCCAATCCACCAACTATTCAAAGGCAACCAAGGCTGTAAACACCCACAGGAAAATTCCATTTTGGGGACCTTCTGATGCCTATTCGCGTCTTAATGAAAAGCCGGGTTGCTTGTTTAGTTGACGAAAAGAATGCTCTCCTGAACGTGTGTGGGTTACAGTACGTGTTCACACGCAAGTTGTTGACTTGTTAGAAATCGATCGAGTGAGATTTCTGCCTGATACAAAAACAAAGACTGCATAAATACCCCTCATAATGACATCAAAGTGACAAGTTTCAATGTGGTTACAGAGGTTAAAAAAATGAGAGCCTCTGAAGTTTTTAAATATTGTAACCAATCTTCTCTCCAATCATGACCAATCGTTCCCTGAAGAAGTCGTGCCGTTTTTAACGAAATGTAAAAATGAATAATAGAGTCTCACAGCTTTACAGTCAGCTTTGCTTTTTTTCTGTAAATTAAAAACAAAACTTTGCTGACAAGATGTACCAGGACCTGGCAACTTTGATTTGCACGTTGGCCTCTGAAAATCCCGCCCCCCATTGCAGTGTGCGCGGCCACAGAAACCTCTCCAAAATATCTGTGTGAAAAAGGTTAAGGTACGAATGGTAAGCCCTCCGTCAATATTCTTGCAAAGTCTTCCTTATAACTTCACGTTCATCAATTCTCTAACTTTAGCTGCCCATCTGTTTGAGAGAATATGAAATGTTGATCACTCTGTATTAAGCGGTCACCCTCGGGGAATGGCTAAGTGACTGCTTAATACAGGGTGACCGCTTAAAGTACAGGTAGCAAGAAATACAATTCAAAGAATTCGATCTCCAGTGCTGATCAGATCAGACGTTTGACCTCAAATAGAAACATTCATTTCCGGCGTTTTAATGATTTGCGAAAATGAACAAGGAAATCAATTGTTGTACCTCGTGTGTTACATTATTTGAAACTGTATGAACAAGTAATTGACACTGTGTGACCGTTTAATACAGGTCAAGACAATAGAAAAAGTCCCGTTGGGACTTTGCAAATGGTGACCGCGACCGCTTAATAGAGGTCGAAATTACAGTACATCAAGGGAATTAATTTTCGGGACTTTTAAAGCTGACCACTTAATAGAGGGTGACCGCTTAATACGGTGTCGCTTAATAAAAGGTTCGACTGTATGTTTATTTTACAACAAAACAATAAATCATGGTAATAACAAAACGCGAAGATGTAGCAAAGCAAGGTTTCTGCAAAATACTTTGAAGACACTTCGTCTTCGGGAAGTCTCTTATTAGTACTTATTCAATTTTGCGGGGGGCGGGGTGGGAGGGGGAAGGGGGTGGGGCTTAAGGTTAGCTTAGGGTTGTTCGAGGCTGGGCGCTTAATATATTTTTCTGCCTTTAGGATGGGCGCTTCCGAGGTGGGCGCTTATTCGAATAAATACGGTATTTGATTTTTTTTATTGTGATTTTAATATTAGCTTCCAAGGCGTGGTGTAGCAAGTCTTCAATCCAACCTTTTGATTAACGAGCTTTTGAGCCTGCAGCTTAATACTGGTGTCCAATCCAACGAAAATTCTCCTTGTGATAAGCACAGTGAGGAATTACTGGAACTCTTTTGCGAAAAATGCGAGGAGCCCGTCTGTAAAGCCTGTTTGGTGATCGATCACCGCGACCATTCGTACTCGTTAATCAAAGATGTGTTTCCACGTATCAAGAGAGAGGTCTTAACAATGATGCGTGAGGCAAGACCGAAGATCTCTGCTCTTAGAGCAGAAGTCATTTCTATTGAAGACGAAGAAACCAAGATACGAGACAATGCGGAAGCTGTGAGTCAAGAGATCGATGCTTTCATTGATACTTTGATCAATAAACAGACTGCGAATCTCGAGAGTGAAAGACGTCGCTTGAAGCAAGCGGTATCTGAGAAGACGTCGCTTCAATTAAGTAAATTTCATGATCACAAGGAAGCTTTACTCACGTCTCTCGGTAGTTTGGAGTTTGCTGAACAATCATTAGATCCAGAAAGCAGGAATAAGGCTGAATTTATACGACGTAAAGCGGAGGTAGCAAGTAAAATAACGGAGCTTCGTTCACTTGCAGAAGAATTTCGTCCTTGTGAAAAAGTCATCTTTAATCTTCACAACGCAACTCCTAAAGAGGAAAATGTGAAAGAGCTCGGAAAAATTACCGTGCGTGGTGAATACTGTTTAGGTATGAGTGGAGGAGAAGAAGGGATTCTCTACACAGGTAGAGGTGAACAATGGTGTGATTTTATCTTCACCGTAACACGTGATAGATCGTTGAGATCTGAAGTTCATCGAAATTTTATGGACCATTTCAAAGTCATCGTATGGAGTCCAAATGGCGAGATAGCCCTCCCTTCTTCTTCACTCGAGAGCAAAGGCAATGGTTCTCGCGGTTTCCGTTTTCGACCCACTTGGTCTGGTGACTATAAGATTTCTATTTCAAATGAAAAACTGTTCGGGGGTGAAGTTCATGGTAGTCCGTTTATTTGGAAAGTCCTGCCGTCCCTTCAATTAAATTCTTTGGTGTGCTGGATCAACAGCATTGGTCGTCGAGATTACACTTACTTGAGTAATAGTGTTCTTGAAGACGGACAGCATTCTTGGAGAGTACGATTGTTAGTGCCGGAAGGGCCTCAGGATACTTCCCATGACTTCCTTCAGATAGGAGTAAGACATCCCTATCGCGGTACATTTTGGGTTTGGTGGAATGGATATCGCTCCTCTCCCGACAAATGCGTTCCCAGCACGCTATCGATTAATTCTTTTCAACGCGGTGATCTGCTCATTTGTTTCTTAGACTTGGACAAAGGAGAGCTAAAGATTTACAACGATCGCACAAGAGAGTCAGACACCTGGCGGGATGTTGAAGCTCCTGTCAATATTTACCTTTATCCAGATAGTTTATTTCTCAGCACACTTTTCGCTGTCTAATTTTACGTAATTCATGATGTAAAAGCTCGACATAAGATGTGGATCAGGCCAGTTTTCTGTTAGTTAAGAAAATACAAGAAGAACGCTTAACAAGTAGACTACGAGTAGTCCCCATTTTTCCTCAGGGATAATAGGGACTTTAAGATCTGGGACGCGACGACTTCTAGAACGCGGTGGCTGATTAAGGACTGGAACTAGAACGCCGTCGTTTGAGCGCGAAAAGTAAAGTTAAGATCTCCGTCGCGATGCAAGACGACGCGGCTGCAAACCGCTCTTTATCAGTGTGATTCTTCACGTATTCTTCGGCAATTCTTTCGCAGAAATAGCAATGGCATCATTTAAGAAAGTCCAACAAATGCTTTGTTTGTGCTTTGTTCGATAGCATCACCTCCACTTCTTCGTTGACGCTTCGGTTTGTCATCGCTTTCATCCGCTAATGAACCTCTTTTATTCGTCTCTGACAGCTTCTCCATCGCTTTAAGTCTAACATCTTCCGCTTTAGCCCGATCTTATTGAAGTTTTTTGCCAGCTGTTTTCCCTGTGTTTCCTGTAATTCCGCTTCGCCACTTTCCTCCAACGCGATGATTATATCCAATAGATTTTCTAGTTCCGTTGGCTCATCGGGAGTTATACCAGTTGCTTTTTCCTCCGCTAGAAGTTTCTTCTTATGCTTGTAAACAAGGATTCCCACGTGGTCTCGGACTGATCGCTTATCAACCCTGAATTTCGGCACAGTGCATTTGTTCAAGGTGTCCGCTATTTTTTCCCACATACTGCTTCTTTGTGTTGACCCTTTCTTAGTTGT